AACAATTGTTGATTTTTATCCGTTTTCTTCCGTATGAGAATGGGATTCTAACTTATCTTTTAGATTACCAGTGAACACGTTCAGTTTATCATTTCGAAAAGTCTAGAAAAGAAACAACCAGAGATAAGCAATCACATGATGTTTCTTTTATTAAAAACGATAGTAATCCTATTTAGTTGAGTGTACAAGCATAGCGAAATATACAAGCATTATGCTGAATTAATCAGGTCATCAGTAGTATACTATTTTTTTAACACTGTACACATAAACGACAGCTTTGTTGTTGAGTTACAAGTTTTTTTTAATCACGACCAAAAATCAGTAAATTCTCGAACATGAGATTACTCCCACTTGACCAGCAATCAAGTAACATGAAAATTCAATCGTTCGAAAAGGTGTCGTTTTGGGTGACTAGTATACATCCATTTGACTGTGGATTTTGTTTGTGTATTTAACACACACGATTCACAAATGCTCTCGTTCTAGAGGAAACTGAAAATAGTCATACTGTTGAACCGAAGATGGACGTATTGTGACGTGGTGGTGGGCCCGCACACTTGAGACACTTGAAACAAACAGAGACAACACCCACAATGCGAGGTAGTCATCACTGGCTCACCTGCTTCGAGTAAACAGGGAAAAGATACGGTTGACCTTCTGGCTTCGTAACATACTCAAACGTGTGCACTCAACATGTCATGTGACCTTTGACGAATAGCGTTCACAACAGGATGTCAGCCTGTCACGTCCTCACTTCTGCGACCAACAGAAAACTATACTCCGATTCCAGTAGCCACCGGGAGGAAAAAATGATTCAACCTATTGGAGGTCGTCCTGAAAGTAGCAACCCTTGCATTGTGCACGAGTCAAACATCCACGTGATACCACATCGATCGACCAAGTAACTTTAACCTTGAAGTAGTCCCGCATTCTGGACGGACAGTATTTAACGTAACTGAACTTGCAGTAGGCCCTAGTCGATTCAATCCCTCATCATGTGAACCACAAAAGTATGCACACTTTTGATTTGACTAGATAGTAGCTGGAATTTAAACTGATTCATCATCGTCCTGCACTTCGGACATATTCATGGGATCCAAACACGCAGGTTCTATCTTGTTTCCTGCGGTAAACGTGTGCGTCATCACTTCGCCTACCAAATTATAATCCAAATTATCCAGTTTCGGTTGTCGACATTCAGGATATCGATCATAATGAGACTGTGTCGAATCTAGACACATGGTGGTGGGATGGGTGAACGAAGTCAGAAAGTGTCAGGCAATTTAGCAGTACAGAGACGAAGCAATTTTAGCACTAACAGTCTGCGTCATTCACTGTGAGTGAGTCGAAATTCAGTCTGCGGAATGAGTTTAGAGTGTGAGCTTGTGGTTTTCAGGCCCGAAACAGCTACAGCTTTTGCCAATCTTTTTGAAAAGCAGTGTAGTTGAGAGCTGTCTCAAATGTTTACCTTTCAGTCTCCGGTCGTAATATTCTATATTGAACGAATCAAGATAATTGTGTCAATAGTAGGCAAGTGCGTTCAGTTGCGTGCTGATCCATCTGTTATCGATTCCAGCAGTTTATTTGACTGCCTGCTTTTTGCTGGTCGATCAATGTGACCATACACCTATGCTTACAAATAGACTTTTTGTGTGCTCGACTGCTCAGCCTCTTAATTATGACGAGTTACACGAAATACTGGAGAATTCACGAACGGTCGAACAGCGCAAAAGTCATTTTAACGATTTATGATGTAGGAAGTTTTAAAGTTGCAACATCTATTTTAAGACTTGGTGGTATTCGTCAATATTCCTTTCAGCATTATCCTAGGATTCTTACACATTTGAGTGTGCACTGGCATACTGTTTATCCCAAAAGACGGTTTACATTCTGGCCTAACAACTTGGACCAAACCGGTGATTCAGAGAATTTGTGTAGCGGTTACATTTTATAAACCTTTTGCTCATTCGCGTGCACGTAACAGGTCTGGGTCACGCAGATAACGTAAGTAAGCCTGTGCAGCATTCAAGTAATGCGGCAGAACACTTGTGTTGTGAGCCAAGAACGCGGATAACACAAGGGTTATTTATTCAGGGAAGCAACACGTGGGTTATGCCGTTCAACAAGACAAGAAACAAAAACACTAATTTGCATACGGCATTGGGCCCAGACGGTCACGGTTGCCACAGACGTCATTGCTCAGTTCCTTTACGTGCCAAGAACCATTTCATGCGATGCTGCACTCCGATGTTTCTTCCCGTATTTTTCCTGCGATTAATTCAATGTCAAAACTATGCTCTGACGCCCACTACTGAATAGTGGTGGTGTGAGTAGCACAGCACGATCGCTCTTCCTCACCACACTTGTTGGTGAATGTGTGCGCTAGAATCGCTGGACAAATAGTTGTAGAAAAGTAATTGTGCGTGTATTTCATCTAGTTTCGAAATGCTGACGTAATCCTGCGTTACCCAATTAAACAGAATGAATATACGAAGGTGACGGTATACTCACTTGTGACTCCACTCTTTATACGTGCAGTATAACTAAATATAGATGATTCATTTTATCTTCATCCAAAAATAACAATGGGGATTTTTGATATTGGTCACGCTTCCTTACAAATCACGATTAAACACATGAACAAAAATTGCGGGATTTCAATTGTTTCAAACGTAACACCGCCCACACTTGATCACAGCATTCTCACTCAGACAAGACTCCCGACCAGCTTAGCTCGGAAGAAACAATAAACTTGGGTTTCACTCTTATTAGAGCTCATCCGTAGTGCACATTCACGTGTGGTACGGAGCTTACACTCTGACCCACGTGTATGTGAGACTAGGGTATTAATCACAACTCCAGTAAGTTCACAATAGACAAAGTCGAATACTCATGATCGGGTGTACAACAACGAAATATCAGCCATTGATCGGGACTCCAGTAGTGAGCCCTATACACCCAATCCGCATTTGAAGTAGCCCGTTAACATCGGTCGACTTGTTTTGTTGCACAGCTTGAACACTGATTGCATTGGATATTAGTTCGCAACAGTTTTGGTGTCACCCAACTGACAGTGGTTTACATTATAAAATGTATTAAAAAGAGATTTCCTATTCTACATAAAGGGTAATCCTAACTGAAAAATGGATCATAAAACTGTGATCATGATACTATCCGATTCAGTGCATTTCACGTTCATCTGCCGGTCCGAAATGTGTGAATGCAATGTGGAAACACTAGCGTATGTCCCGGATTCATTTCATCCATATCAGGTTAATACTTCCTTATTTCCAGTGAGTAGTATAATTGAATTACTGATAAGTAGTTCAGCAGATTTGATTTTGTTAGTACAAGGAAAAACTTGCAGGAGTTTGATCGTAATTTCCATGTTCGTATAAAATCGCTAGGCAATGCTCTCTAGAAAGTGAAAACCAGAGTAGAGTTTCTCTCATGTTAGTGCTCCTCCACAATGCATGTTTCCCATAACCGGGTACTGAACTCCAGTGACATACGCAGGATGAACCCATGATAACCACCATGCTGATGGTTCAACATTAGGCACGATCAAGTTTTCGTATGAAAACCTGCCATATTGCTCGTGCTAAATTCTCATGTTACTCGATCGTTTCGACTGAAGGTGCCAGGGCAGTTGTCTTATTCTCCACACACACCTAATAGTTTCTGCCAAACTAATGAGATCTAACAAAAAATAGGTGTGAAATATCGTAAAGCAACCTTCTTTTAGGTTGATGGTGAGTAAGATGATTCAGTGCTGGTGTCCGTGGGATTGTGTCTCTTCTTGTGACTATCAGACAACCCGGTGTGTAAATATGGTGACTGAACCACTGTTTACATAAACTCAGTAGACAATTATCATTGATGATAAGCTTTAGCCAGAGAGGAATTCGAACCTAGTGTTTCTTTTTATGAGGGGTTGTTTGAAATGTCTATGTAGATGCAAAGTTTATGATCAGTTGCGAATAGTTTTAAGATTCAGTTTGTCTAATTATGTAATCTGATTGAAAACAGGCTAGTTGCCGTCATCAGTAGATTGAAGATTCAATTATCATCGGTTTAAGCACTTGTAGATTACCTACTGTCAACCCATTTTCTTACGGTACACTCAAAACAAAGTGTACGTCACCAATCTGTGTTCTTCTACAATAGATTCCGGAAAAAGTGGTGTCTATAAAGGAATGTTCTTTGTTAGGTTAGCACTTTTAAAATGATCAAACCATGTGGCATTTGTTGAAATTCCAGTTTGACAATGCGTTCCAGACAGTGTTCATGAATACATTGATTCGTTTGAGTACTGAGGTTAGGGTAAAGTGCGATTCTGCCATTTTCAAAAACCTATGGCTCCTACTTTATTTGCATTGAACAGTCCGGTAACTCTTTTTGTCACTTGGTTACAAAAGGTGAAGTTGTCACTATGATCTACTTTGATTTATAAGAGTTCTGTCAATCTACTAGTGCTGACAACCACTACATGTTGCTTCCAATGCGAACACGCAGATAAAACAGACGTGGTGGGAACCGAGGGTTTGGAAACGGTTATCCTTCCCAACGTATAGAGGAACATCGCTCTATACTGATTGGAATATGATCTCAATTTTGGTTGGTACAATAAGTCGAAAAACGGGAACCAATTGTACAATTCAAAAAAACTGTCGTCAGGGAAGACAAAACAAAACATTGAGCAGTGAGTTACACCCTCAGAAACAGTGTATTTGAAAGTGAGTAAGATGCATATCTGATCGTAGAATCCAACCACATCATACGCTGGAATTTTTTATGGAGTAGACACAATTCACATGGTTCGTTGAAGCGAAATTATACTGAACAGGACTTTTACCGTTAACAACTTTGTTTAGGTAATAAAAACGGAATACCCAAACATTTGATTGGTTTCAGGGTACCGAATTCCAAAACGAACAATATACCCTCAACAGTAGCGTGGATAACCAAATGCAAATGTGTAATTTCCGAGCTCCTGGCGTGGCTTTGTATCTCAGCTGGTAGAGTGCTTACTGAGTTCAGGCATGATGCTTCTGTCGCTGGTTCGAATCCAGTCGAAGCTCTGGCTTTTCACAATTGGGTCTCATCTAAAATATACCCACAATAATTTGAAGGAAATTTCTATATATAAGTATACTTCAAAATATGCAGTATTCAACAAATAATCTGTATTTCATAACCATGTGTCTGTCTGCTTGTCGATTGGGAACCAAATATCTACTCATGGACTTCATTTTTGGTTTCTGTTAGCCTACGCACATTCTTTCAACTAGCAGTGGAAATCCACACTTAAATACCCGAGGTAGTATTTCATTTTGGCCTCACTGAACAGTTGTCAGAATCGTAAACGGATAGTCATGGCTGTTGATTGGTATCACTTGAATATCACTTTCATTTAGTCTTGAATTATATTCAATGAGATTTAGCAGGAGGTTGGTGTACATTCACACAGTGCCCCACACTAAGACGCAGACTGGATATAATGCTAACGAGTTTTTCGAGCAAGTGTGAAGTGTGTTCACATTGTGAGTTGACGAAAGACCTGAAAGTCTATACTTCAACACTGACTAAGCGATGAAACCACAAACGCTTAATCCTGTATAATGGTTTCAAAACTCGGTTGGAGATTCCATAAACGTACTGTTTTGACGATAATCATTAAATAGTTTGGGTACAGGTTCCGTTCGCTGATGTACAGTGTATCCGTCCAAATTTATATGACAGTTGTAGTTTTTAAAAACACACACGATGGACCGAGTTCCGTGCTACCCCACTCCCTTCAAACAAGTGGGAAAAACTGAAAAACATATGCTCAAATTCGAAATACTGTAAATGGAAGATGTTTGGAGTGCGAATTCAGTGCTATGATAGTTTACTGACATATGTAACTTATGTAACCTCATGTGAGTTTCAGTTATTGTAATTTGCTTTCATAACTTCTGATTCGAAAATACTCTTAGATTAAGGCCTGACACATTTGACAGCGAATTTCATCCCATTAATTAATATGAGCATCGCCCAGTTGGAGTTTTCTGTTTTTAATTATCTGATCACAAGACAGAATTAAATTCATGTATTGTTTGATGAGACTCAATTTACATAAGCTATGACATTTTCATACACTGTGATAGAAGCCAGTAGCAATGGAGCCTTAGTACTACATCCAAAGATAACGTTTATTTCAACTTTCAACTTGAGCACAACACACAATTGATTACAGCTTTCGCATTCTCATAGACTTTCCAGTTGGCCCCTTTCGAAAAGAGGCACTGGACTTGATTTTCGCTGTTGTTAGAACTCGTCAGTAGTGCATATCAGCAGTAATCGATAATCATATTTTGTAATTTTATCTTAAGGTGGATTCTACCCGAGTCATGTTATTGTTGATGTTAGTTTAGTTTAAACGAGTTTTGAATGCGTAAACCTTCACAATAAGAGCTGATGATCATATACGTGTGACCAGTGTTCTCGTACACATTGCTTGTAGTGGAACCAACAATATACTTCCTTTGCAGCCGCTTCACAGCTAACTAGTCCAGGCAGGCACAATTTCTCACAGGTTGACAATGTTAGCTGGAAATTACTAGAACAGCACCAGTTGGTAATCAAGGTATTATTTGTGGCTCGCAGTCAGACTAATGCTTCACCACCGACTTCTTCATTGCCTGTACTCACTCGGTGCAGCTAGAATGGATGCAGTTTGAACTGACAACCTCGTGTAATTGTGGGTACATGGTCCCATACGCCCAAAAACCACATTTGAACGTCGCAACCTAGATATCCAAGATGAAATTTATCTATCCACACTAACGAGATATGACAATGTTACACATCAATAATCTCGCTACTCGTGCTCACATGTTGCGAAGATAATTTCGTTTGAATCATTCAAGTTACAGTAACGAAGTAAGTTGAAAAAAACTGTTAGAACACGAAAAATGGTAGATACAAGTATTTCTTATTGACTCGTCAGTACCAAATTTACATCAACAAGGCAAATGTTGCTTCACTCTGGGAATCAAACCTCTCTCGGTTCTGCCTATATAACTTTCTTTGCAGTTACATGTAAATTGTCAGATACAGTGTGAGGTGGCACCGATGGGCTGATCTTTGGTTGAAAGCACAGGCAGCTTCTGGGTTCCATCTAGTACGCAAAGTTCGGTTGTGTTGAATGTTCGTCTAATCGAATTCGTCAGTCTTTGCGTTGTTTGATGCATATTGTAATCGCCTAAATTGCCTAAATGGTGCAGAACTCAGTATTACCGAAGAATGGCAATGCCGTTGAAACAAGCAAACAACCAGTGTCCGCAGTTGCAAGACACATCCTAACCACTGGTCACGTTATCGACCAAGGTTTGCGCATTCAGAATCTTATTACGTTAGTTCAATCCAAGATTCTTACGGTTTTCTGAAGCTGTCGCAATCAATCGATTAAAGCCAGCCTTTTGTCTTCAGAAACAATTGTTCGTGAGCTTGACCCTTCCATGAACTTAGCGACCTATCCTAACCAATCGATCGACTATCTATCCCACCCCTCCTAACAGTCTGATATAAAAAACCCGTTTCATATTATTGTAAATTTGGTACTGACGAGTCAATATGAGGTACTTGCATCTACCATTTTTCCTGTTCTAACGGTTTTGTTAAAACTTCTGAAGGCAACGAACTGTTTTAAATTTTGAAAGCAATTACGTAATTACCACGTCTTTCAATTCACCACTTCGTTGACATTTAATTCCAACGAACTTTGTTCGTGAGAACTCTGTTCAATGTGAGGACATTATTCAGACATCCTGCCACTGGGTTGTAGAAGTCGTGGTGGCCATAAAAATGATTATTCTATGCAATGCAGTGTTAGAATAATACGTTACAATTGAATAGACCTTGTAAGCTTGTGTTTGTTTCGTTTTCATCTTTACAGGGTGCTTTTAATACTTCTACCGGAGTATCTTGTGTTATCAACTGTCACCATTGTCTGCAAATATCACATAACTACCCGGATGGTGCTCATAAGACTGAAATGCTTTGGGAATGAGTAACCGATCATTCAACGAAGAAATTGTTGGACAAATAAGAACACATACTTGAAACAAAGCCAAATTGTGTCATTACTCTATTTCCTGAAAAAGATACAAACTCAAACTTACCATGTGCATGGATTCGACAAATGAATTCCACACTTTAATGTAGTTGACACCTTTGTGCGAACGTTTGTAAGTTGAGAGCAAAAAACAATCCAGAAGACGTTTTGAAAGATCTTTTTGTTTTCTCATGAAAAAGCAAGCAAGATAAGCGACAAGGTACAATTTATATCGTAGATTTTTTCAGCAGAGAAGATTAAATACATCTCCGATTCATGAGTTTGTTTTAATAAAAGACGAATTTAGCTTAAAAGATTGAGGAACATCAGAAGGTTTTTCCCAAGATTTATTATGTGCACTGATACGTTCCGATTAAATGACGTCAATATAGACTGTGATTATCGGACGATAAATAGGGCAACTTGTAAAAAGTATGTATTAGCTAACACGTTGGCGTAATACACAAGCACACATATCCATCATATTTTTAATTCCTAGTGTTTTGTGTGTTTTCACAACTAGCGGGCCAATGCGGATCGCGGATAGGTAATCTGCAGCCTGCAGACTAAATCTTGTCCACCGACATAAATTATTCGGCCGACACTCCAACCATAGAATAGTGCCTACGTTCAACAATGATTGTGTGCGATCAACTACTGTCAACGAACAGCAAATTATGGACCCGGCTGACTGATACCCATCTAGCTGATGCTTAGCCTCACTTTTCATTCGGCTTTTGGTCTAAAAATGCACGACTTTCAAGTAGAAATGACACCATACATCACGCTATTTTATTCCTGTTACATCTACAGAACTTGTTTAGCAATTTACTAAAGTAAATATCAAGATCAGTTTTTGTCTTATCATTACAAAATAAGCTTATTATTTACAAAGTTGCCTCTCTCATATTGGACGAGGTTACTTTTTAGTCGGTGATGTACGGACATTAGGGGGAGTAATAATAAGATATTGGAGGACAGGGACTTCAGTTTCCTGGAAGTGCAAACCTCTTGGCAGTTTGAAACGCTAGCCGGTCTGATATTGTGAATATGATACGGCTACGACATGATCGGCTTTTGTAGCAAACGTTGAACGTGTATATATAGCTTCATTTTGTATAGTATTAACTATACTGCGTTCAGCTATCATCGTTCTCTTTATAGTATCAGGTTATCGTGTTTGAATCACTCCACAGGAGTTGCGGGGGCGATGAATCCGTCTTCACAGAGATGTCTGGGGAGTACTGACTTGGCTTACAACACCTATTATCCATTCAGTGAAATGGATTCAAACCCCCCTCCCGCGTAGCACGGAGTGCAATAATTTTCAGATTAGATGACAATACTTTGAAGCCTCTGTATTAAGAATTCGTTGTCCAACTGAATGTATAGCGTACGATGAGAAAAATATTGACTGTTGTTTCCGGCATGGTTTTTTACACTGTTGTTGGGACAAGATTTACCACAATTGTGAGTAAAGCACACAATTGAGATTCCTCACACGTTCATCCGTTTATTATTGCATGCTTATGGTTCCGCCATTCTGGTGATGTAAGAGATGTGCTATATTATTTCACCATGAACTAAGCTATAACTTCTGTCGTAAAATTATACGGTTATCTTCTCATCTGACATTTTCTAATGTAGTATTAATTCAGTAGCTAGCCTTTGCAGCAGAAAAATAACTCGCTCTACAGACCATGGATAAAATTTTGTTTGAAGTGATTTCCCAAGATATGTTCTCAACAAATATATCATTAATAGCTTAACGTAATTATCCACCCACCATGCGTTACTATGGCTTTGATTGGGATGGGGCTATATTTTTAGTCGTCATAATAGGGCATTGGACTAACGACAGGCGATCACGTGATGACCTGGGAACTGGATATGTACCACGGTCCATTTAACAATTCGAATGCCTGGGCGGTTTCTAGTTCGTCTGGACTTGATTTTACCATCATGTGATTTGTAGTTTATTTC